AATATCTGCATCGGCAAGGATTGCTATGTAATTAGCACAATCATTAACTGCGTTGCTTAGTAACATAAACGGGAGAATCGTTGAAACAAAAGGAATCACTATTAAGATAACACTTCTTTACGGAAATTAGAGACCATTTGAATCACAAACGTCTGGAAACTTGGCTGCGTTTCAAAGATGGTAAGTGAGGATAAGAATTGAGAGAATCCCAGACAAATATTATACCATCATTTCAGAAGGAAAAAAAAAGCATTGGGGCTCACGAATTTATTTATTTTTTATATAATTAATCAGGAGTTTTTAGTCCACGATCGAAAATAGGCATTGCGGTTGGTTGTATTTATTTATTGATGTTAGAAAATACGTATTTAATAGGTAATCAAAGAGGTTAAGGTTTTTCAAAATTTTCAAAAACAAACTTAAGTTTTTCAGAAAGAAAAGTTAAAAAAAACAAGAATTTTTCGGTCTGGAAGATCATGAAGGTTTAGGCTCTACAAATTTCGAGACCGACCAACGGTATGATAGTGACATGAGGTCAGCATTGCGTTAAAGATACATTGCTCCCAGACAAGCTGTTTTCCATTGATTTGAAGCTGGGCAAACTGAAGTCGCCTCCGATGATAGAACCCCGGTTTTTTTAAAATGATAGCTCAAGGCCTTAACCACTAAGCCATCACGGCTCAAACTTGTAAATTTCGAAGAAAGAAAAAATAGAGGATGAAGGAAAAGGATAATAAAATAAAATAATAAAAATTAATATTTGGACTGATAAACTAACTCGACATTTTTTCTTAGTGTCACCCTTTTGTTGACAAGAAATTAAAATAATAGAGTGTGATAACAATAAATTTTACTTTGCGAAAAACTTGGGTGACCCTACTCAAAAAGTGACGATTCAAGTTTGTAACTCAAGATAAATCTCTAGTTTGAAACTCAAGAAACTGTGGATAAAAATATAATTGTATAGATCTAAACGGAAAGTTCTGCTGTTCAAATTAATCATTTTCCCACTTTATAGACAAATTTAACCTTTATATGATTGACGGACTAGAGTTTCAAACTTAACTATGCAAGTTAGGTTCGCTTTCTGTGCTTTGAGTTCATTAAATCACTGTAAGAAAATATTCTCATTGATAGATAAACCTTGGTTTAGATGTTCAAGTGCCGTCGAGCTAACTATGAAATGTAATCAAAGTTCCCCCCCCCCCTCCTTTTTACAAAATGCAAATGTGGGTGAATTCGCTGCAATGTTCGACCTGATGCTATTATCAGGAGTTCAGTTATCTTCTAAGTTAAATTCGTAAAATTTTCGTAAAAATAATTTCGTAAAATTTTAGTAAGGATAAATCGTTAAAAGCCATAAATGTTAATTCCGGTTGCTCTTTCCTAGCAATAAATTCACAAACTTTATAACAATTTTATAAACAATAAATTTTATAAACATTAAATTCACATTATTGAAATAGTTCTAGCATGGTCGCCAAAGAGCGGATATAGGACACTGTTAATTGTGAACGTATAAACATTACAAGCTACTGCCAAAATTCACTAAAATGCCATTTAGAATATTTATTCACTCGACTCTTCATTTATTTGTTAAATAAAATAAAATAAGTCAAAATTCACTAAAATGTCACTTAGAATATTTATTTACTCAAATCTTCATTTATTTGTTAAATTAAGGAAAATAAGTCATCAAACAAAAATCAATCAAATATAAATAATTGTTCAGAACCTAGTGTTTTAATATATTTTTTGCACAGTCACAGCTGTACAAATTTGCAAATCTGTTTGTGAATATTTAATTCCAGAAATGTGCTTAGTATAAAATAGAAATAAAGAAGCCAATTTCAGACGATAATTTTTTATAAATAGCTGCCACCAAACGCAATTATTTGTCGTGGTAAAAATTTCATACAGATAAATAAGCGCAAGGCTTACTTTAAAACTAGACGCATCTAGAAAAATTAATGAAATTTCAAAACCTTTTAAAATAATTACCACTGGTTAACTCTACAGACAACAAAAGCGCTATTTACTCTCTTTAATTTATGCAAGCCCATTTGCAATTATGGAATAATTTAAGAGCAAGCAGTTCCCAGAATCGAAAAATAAGACGAAAATCGCCAAAGAAAAGCATTGAAGAAATGTCGCACAAACACATAAATCTTTTAATTATCAGGTCAATTTGGCGTGGGCAGCATATATTTCTTTGCTATCATTAATTAGAGGGCAAATATATCTTTATGACTTCCGCAAATGGTCCAAACGTAAATCTCTTGGCGTTTTGTGAGAAGGCAATTGTTGAAGCCTTGCATTAAAGCTAATCAACAAATAATGGACAAGCTCTTAAATCTCTTTATCTCCTTTTGAAAGTGTCTTTACTCTTTTTTTTTTAAATTTATTTACTTGCAATTTATTTCACTTTTGAAAGGGGTAGTAAGACTTTAAATATTTAATGCACTTAATGGTTTTTTAAAAAATTTTGTTGCAAAAATAATTATAAGTTTCGTCGAGTTAGACGATTTAAAATTGAGTTTATACGCGTTTGAATGAATGAGAACGCAGTTAAAGTTTACGTCAAATAAGTAAATATTTCGTTATGGTTAAAGTTAACAACTAATAAGTGAATACTTTTGCTTTTTTTCCTATAACACAACATGCTTTACATAAAAGCCAATCATCAAATAATGATAAGCTCCTTAATTTATTAGTTCAAATGGAAATCATTAGCTCAACATCATTAGTTCAAATAGAAAAATAAATTTTAAGACAATTTTATACTGCAAATTAACATATTATAGTACAAATTATTTATACTGTGAGTCAATTTTGACTTGATTTTTTAAACATGGAAATATAATCATTATGAGAGTTAGGCGCGCCTGTCTTGGCGATGAGATGTTGAGTTGGATCCGAGAACTGATAATGGAAACACTGCTTTTGAATTTTCTCTCGCTCGAAATCAATTTTTACATTATTTTGTGTTTTGTCTGAGTGTTATATTTGTTTGTGTTGTGGAAATATGAGACGATTTAATAAATAACAGTTATTTCCAACCTGGAATACTTATTTGCAACACATTACATCATTTTAAATAGAAAATGTTCTATTAGAAACAAATAGGTCACTACTAGTCAAATGGCTCGTGGCTCCAAAAAAGTGTTTTACAGTAGTTAGAATTGTCCTTTAAAAAGCCAATCAGTTACCATGACAAAGGAGCTATAATATATTAATAAAAACTAGTGGGCTGTGTCCCCTGCTCGCTAACGCTCGCCAACCCCCGAAAATTGCTACGCAATCTTATATGGTTTGCTTCGCAAACGAAGATCGCTTCGCTCGCTACTAACTTAGGTACATTGCAAACAAAATTCTAAGAATTCAAAACAATCATTCAAATCCATATAACAACTTTTTTTTAAAAAAAAAATTACATCTTTTTAGTAAATACTAAGTCATTAAAATAAATTTGAATTCAAATAAATGACATGTAATTCGTTAAACCTATTAGAAATGTGCTATAGTATAAAATCTTAAGATAAAATTTCTAAAACTGATATCTCTTTAAAAAGGTTAAAATTTTGGCTATAATTAAGTCTATTAAAAATTTAAATAAGAGAAATTGCAATGGAAAAACCCTGCATAAACAAAACATTGAATTTCGGAAGAAATCTCGTTTGGTGAGAATGCTCTCTCTTGTCAAAAAATACAAAATAAACTGACCTCAAATAAAACTCCAAGGACTTCGAATCAAATAATTAAGGAAACTACTATCACGTTTAATATAAAAGGAAGATTTATTAACTAAACAATAAAATTACAGCATCGCAGTTCCAAAAAACAAATCTCACACTCACTCAAAAAAACAATTTACCTTCTAATTAGTCACCATAGCAACCACAAAACTCTTCTCGTTACCATCTATAAACTGATATATAATAAATAAATTATTTAACAAAAAATACGATGCGCATAAGCACATAATATTTTACACTCTGGTTATTTCAGTTTCGTTTTTAGAAGCGCTATATGTTGAGCCACCTAAACTAGATTTGGCATGTGACATTTTTAGCGGCAATTATTGGTTGATTTTCTCGCGTTGCCATTCGGAGAGTTGTAATGAGGCATTTTTTTATCGCCGTGTAAGAGAAATATATATATAGATTTAGACCTGCATTTATACCGATGCGCCAAATAATGTGCATAGGTGCAAAGCATCAATCAGATTCTATATTGTTGAAGGCTCTCCAGGCAAATTAAGCATCTGAGTAGCACATCGAAACAAAAATCACACTATGCACACTGGTGTAGGCTTTTATTATGATTTTACTTTATGACCGGAGTTGAATAGACGGATTTTTGGCTTTACTGCTATCAATCTTCAACTCGGTAGCTTTGTAATTTCGAACCCAACCTAGAAGAGGAAAGAAACACTTGGATCAAACATTGGGACAAACTAGCCTTCGTGGAGGACTTTTTGATGGAGCTAACCCACATTTGCGTCACACGGAGAAGAAAAGCACTCGAACTTCCCACGGTTAGCCTTAGAGCAAGGGATTCTGACCCATGATTCATGTACCACTGAGGAAATTTTACGCCAGCAGTATGGTCGGTGCGAATCTGGAGCAAAATTCGAATCACCCAACCATCTTGAGATTCAAACATGGGTCACCCCAATGGAAGGTGAATTAAAATTAAAGTACTACGAGTACTTTTTATAGTACTATAAGTACTTTTATGCTACCTATTTTTAAAATAAAAGTATTTCAAAGTATTTGCATTAGAAGTACTATGAGTATTTTTAAAATAAAAGTACTTACAGTCATTGAAAATGTTAGGAACTTTTAATCAGTATTCAGGCTCTAGGTTTCTCTTAATCAAGGGGGGGGGGAGTTGATAGTCTAACTTTAAAAAGCGTTATTTTCTTCGATGAAAATCTCTTCGAAAGATAATTTTAAGAGTCTTTGTGTACCAATAAAAAAACAGAACTAAATCCTTACCGGTGCGTTTCTTATGCTCTGCCAGGTGAAATAGAGTTCCCATATGGAGTCTGGAACCATGACGGAAAATCCAAGCGCATAATCATTGACTGTTCCGTTGTCCACATACCGCAGCTCCGCATTCAAACCTACGGGACAGATAAAAAGAAAAACATCAATCAGACAACATTTCCAAAACACACATAATTAGAGACACACCATCTGTCACGGATTATTAACGCGAGAACAAGCCGTGACAGTCATTGTTTGCATCTATTAAGTCACCATGCTTCCTTTGCAATTAGCCAATTGAAGACTTTTAAGACAACGTCACAGATACATAACGCTCAAATAAGGTACTTTTTTTTTTCCAACCATGAAGTCCCACCTCCAGATTCATTTTAAGGCGGCAAAAAGAGGTTTGCTATAGGTAAAGGGTTGGGACAATAACTGATGCATGTTTGGAAGGTACCTCCAGTTATTCTTTATGAGGAAACGTTCATACATTAAGGAAAGATGTTTTGAGAGTGATTTTGGTAGTTATTTTAACATGGTTTTTACGAAGTCATTTCGCAAAGGAAAATAAAAAAGCCACAGTTTAGGTGCATTAACACTTGAAACAAAGCTGTAATTTTAAACACTATATGCCATCTTGCCATGAAGAATTATCTGGGCTTTAGACCGGACAAATAGCTTAGATATTTTAAAAGTTGTTAAACTTCTTAATAAATCGCTAATTTGGCGACATTTTCCCCTTCTCGGAACCAATGCCTCATTCTTATATTTTTGCAACGTTTTATGAGCCCTGTTGATGCAGTATAGGAGAAATTTTTAAAATATTAAAAAAATTAGACCACAAAGACTGTGCTTTTTTTTTTTTTTTTTTTTTACATAATGACGTTTTGCGTCATTCTAAGAATAAGCCTCGAGGGCACTGGCTAAAGACATGCTAAATTTGCCCAACGGTCATGAGCAAATTTTTTCACACTTAACAGCAGTAAATAGCATATTATTTGCAAAAAAGCATAATTTCATGCGATGACATAGCTTTCGAAAAATAGCCTCACGAGGCCTTTCTCTTTCTGACCTAACTCAACGCTCGAAGAGGTGGAAAAGAGGAAGAAAAATTCTAAAAATGCTTTTATTCCTTTATACTTAAATTTCCACAAATAAACTGTTGTTGGATATTTATTTTTCAATCACGATTAAGTTTGAGCGTGGCGAGAAAACCTAGCGGAAGAGTTCACTTTCTCATATATAGGAAAAGTTAAAGCGGCGGAAATATGTAGCGAGAATTTCTAACTAACACACCATTTATCCCTGAGTATCACACCTAATCTGGATTTAAATCAGATTTTGGAATTCGGAAGTAGTCTCAAAGAGAAAAAGACAATCGTTTTTTTGTTTTGTTTTTGTATTGCTTAATTCTGACTGCGAAAGTGCTGTATCCTATTACGGCCAAATTTTTATTAAACAAAGCAAAGTTTGACGGAGTTCTTAAATTCTGGGTTAACTTCATTTCATTCTAATAAAATTAAATATTAGTGTGATGTTGAATAAGAATATAAGGAAACTTAATTAAAACTTTTACTGTAATAATTGATAAATATTACATAGTTAAAACAAAGAAGAAAGAAAATGAAACGTGTTCACTTTTTACAAATGCAAAAAAAAAAAATTTTTTTTTGGATGATGTTACTTTCTAAGTCACCCGCAACTTGTTCGAATAATTGTAAAAAAAAAAAAAAAAAAAAAAAAATTTACAGCATTTATGTCGCAAAATTTTACAAATATTTTCGCATAATTTATAGTACCCGAATTCGGTTCAATAGAACACAATTTAATAAATAAAATAAAAACCCTATTAATTCCTCAATATTGATTTTATTAATCAAAACGTGTTCTACTGAACTGATATTTTAACGTTTAGAACACATTTTAATGAATAAAATGAAATCCTATAAATTCCGCGTAATTGGGTATAATATAAAAAAAAACACAACTACTTCCACTTAGTAGGAATAACATTTACCATGACGCAATGCTAAATTCTATGCCACTATCCACATAAATCAATTATTAATCAAAAATCGAATATCAATTACTTTTCTTTATAATGCAATAAAATCTGGCGAGCAGCTATTTAAACGATCAAACACTTCGTTTGTTTATTTGTGGCTTGAAGTTAGGCTCGCAGAAAATGCCGTTCATGGGTTAAATGTGGTAGGAATAACACAACCTGTGACGTAGGCTATAGTATACCCAATTGATTTTATTCACCAAAATGTGTTCTATTGATCCTAATTACCAAGTTTTACATTTTAAGGTTGCATTTAAAAAACTTTTTCAATGTTTTCAAACAAACTTTCGTAAATGCATGAAATTTTTAAAGAACTATACGTAACTCAGCTTTTTATACAATAACCTAAACGGCGAAAAAAATCATGCAATTAAAAAAAAAAAAAAAAATAAACAAGCATTAACAATAAACGTTTTCTCAGAAAAATCACAAGTCATTCCAAATTTTTTTTAAATTTATCGTCCGTAAGAAAAGTGATTTAAGCGAAACAATCTCTAGAGGGCGCTGCTTACTGCACACATTAATCGCACCCACTTAAGAGGAAGATTTTGCGGGAAGAAAAGAAACAATTAAAAGGAGAAAAGAATAAGGAGCGAAGTGAATAGGATAATGCACATTTCCGAATGGGAAACATTCTTAACACAATTTTTCGGTCACGGTAAAACGGAAGATTCGGAAGAAAGAAGCTCTTTTTTTAATTAAAGTGTGGTGGGAGATTAAATTATTAATATACTAAGCATAATTAATTTACATAAGAGTGTGTTGGTACAACGTGATGAAAAGGAATTTATTTCCTGTTTAGAAAGGACGTAGGCACTTAGATTTTATAAGCTCTTCTCGTCATTCAACAAGTAAACAGTAAAAAAAGAAGAGCTCTTTCATTTAGAGCTCTTACTTAAGAGAAATAATTGATAATTTACACACCGCAAGAATTCTATCTAGACGCAGAAGATTAATTTTCTTTGTTTCTAAGTTCTAAACGAATCATCGCCACAGTTGCCACAAAATAGTAAATTTAAGATACTGATTTTCTGTATAAAATTTGAGGGAAAAGAATACAAGTTTAGAGGCAAATGATTTTATTAGTAGAGAATTATCGTAATCGTTTTCTTATAACGAATTTCAGACGAATTAATTTTTTTGAACTAAAACATTTTTGGTAGCAAGTAATTTAAAAACACTAATTTGCAAATTTCATTAGAGTGTGACAGCTTATCCGTTCTTTGTTTCTAAGTTCTAAATTAATCATCGCTACAGTTGCCACAAAATATTAAATTTAAGATACTGATTTTCTACATAATTTGCAGAAAAAGAATACAAGTTTTGGGGCAAACGATTTTATAAGCAGGGAATTTCCGTAATCTTTTACTTAAAACGAATTTCAGACGGTACGACAAAGAATGCTATTCAAATTTTATGTAAGTTTTAAATAAACAAATGTGATCTTTACTCCACAGATTTTTTTAACATGGAACTTCTGAGAAAGGCTGAAAAAACTGTGTCAATACCCCTCCTTTTAGAAGTTTAATTTACTGACTATCGTATTAAAAGGCAGAATGTATATATAAAAAAAAAAAAAATCAATGACTAGATTTCAAATTCTTGGGAAACTGAACAACATAATATAATCTTTCGAACTTTCTTAGTGATTGAAAGAGGTGAAAATAACACAAAATCCCAGTTCGACTTCCATTTCTCACCATAGTGTAAACCACTGCGGAAAAACAACTAAACAAAAAAAGGTTCCCTGAAGTAACAGATTCCTTTATAAGTGGGAAAAATTGAATAAAAAATTTTTCTTTAAAAAAAAGAGAGAGAAAAAAGAAAAACCCACTATTAAAAAAATTTTTAAAACAGTTTATGGCTTCAATTTTATGTGAAATAATAATAGTAATTAGTAAGCTATTTACATAATTTAATAATATTTTACATTATTAATACCTAATTGTAAAATATGAGAAAACTAAAAAGAAACGATTGGAAAAAATAAATTTAATGAATTTCTTACGAAACTAAAAAACAAAACAAAAAAACAATCGTAGTTTCTTTTTCAATGTTGTACTTTATAATTATAGTTGTAGTTTATAATTCAGGTTCTGTAATATATAGTTTTAAATGTAGTTACTTAGTTTTGTAACTAAATAAGGAACAGTTAAAATAAAACTCAATTTTATTAATACAATTAAAATAACAAATCATAATCACTATTACAAAAGGCACATTTAATTCACAATTACAATATAATATAAACGTAAAATTACAACACGAAATGTAAACGTATTCGTAAAGTTTAAATGTAAACGTTTTTATTACAAATCACTTTTGTTTCTTCTCATTTACGTCTGGCGAGTTTTGAAAATGAGAGCTAGAAGCATGTCGACTGTCATTACCAATTTATATATTTTTGAAGCGAATGACGTTTTTAATCAATATATAAATACTATAAAATAAATAACTAACATTTGTGCTATTGTTAGAATAGGAAACAGTACTTCCTTAAAATTGTTTACTAAATTAAGCATTAAGTAATCTTAAAAATTAAAATCGATTTAAAACTTGACATTTATATTTGAGTAAAAAATAGATTTCGAACAATTGACCTTTTTTTTCTTTCTTGATTTAGAAATTAATTGAAAAGAAGCGAAAGAATTTTTTTTTATTTTTTTATAAAACTTAATTAAGACTTCTGTGAAACATTTAATTCGTTTCTTTTACGATTTTTTTTAATCAAATCTCCATTTTATGAGGTGAAATTTCGGTCAAAGGATAGCTATTAACTGAAAACGGTTACGTATAACTGTTAAGAAATAAGAAATAAAGACATTTAGAACTTCAGAACTTTTTTTTTTCGCTGATTAAAATAGTGAATTCATTTCGGTTGAAACAAAATATATTAGAAAGCTAATTACAAGATCAATACCGAAATAGATTTTAAGTATTCGATTTAAGAATTCGTGGCTTTAAAAAAAACCTAGAAAGGAAAGCAATTATTTACATTTTATAGTTTGGATCTTATATCAATTTAGTTTAAAATATACTATCTACATAAAGTGTTCTGTACCGACCACC